ATGAGGCTGGTATTATCTGTTCAAGAAACACAAAAGAAAAATTGGATCACAACTCCAGTGGTGAACGTATTATCAACTTACGTGAATGGAGTCAACTTTTTTCTCAGCAAAGAATTTTCTTCGACATCAAGACATTCGAAGACCTGAATTGGAGAAGCTTCCTTGGACAGGACATCTTTGCTATCTTTTCACCAGAGTCTGGGAAATTGGAAGACAGAAATCACAGCTCAAGAAGTCAGCTAAATATCGTGATTTGAGAGATCTTTCCAACAATCTTCGAGCCAATGGATGTGATTGGATGAGAGGCCAAGATGAACCGTTAAATGAGGAGACTCGTCATGAAATCCCCAAAAATTCTTGGCATGAAAAGTGGCTCAATTACGAAAGAGACCTCGAAATTCAGGAAGATCAAGACTGGCTATCAGAAGCTGTTTTTCACTCTTACCAGAAGCATCTTGACAAAATGATTCGAGCAAATGATCTTCTCTGGATGGACTTTTGTCGAAAAAGGTATGTTTGGAATGATGAGAAAGGAGACTGGGATACATTCCTCGATTTGAGCACAAGAGGTTATGATACCACTGATCCTACAGTTGTTGTTCCATCAACCTACAAGACAGTCATTCCAGAACCAGAACTTCATTTCTCATTTTCAACAACGCTCATGGTGATGGCAATTGAACTATATCAACAAGAAGCAGAACGATCATTTTGCCACTATGTCACCTATGCTCATCGAAAACTGGTCCAATTTGTGGAGAGCAGGAAGCAGATGACAGCTGAATCCTACAGGTTCTTCATTGAACATGCCTACAATCAGTTTCTCCAACATGAATCCTTCCATGTCTCTGCGCGTTCCAAAACAAAGGCCAAGGACATTGGTGCCTCTGGGGAACTCCATACATCCACAAGGCTTTCTGGATATTTGGCTTGGAAGTGGGACCAAAGTTGTCCATGTTCCAGAAGAAACAGCTGGTGATGTTCAAATGGATGCAGAGGACGATGAGGAAGATGAGACATTGGCAAATATGCCACGTTTATCGGTCAAGGTTCAACATGATGTTGAAGAGAATTTTCCAGGTGAAGAACTTCAAGATGAGGAACATGAAGGAGAAGAACAAGATCAACCAATGGAAGGTGTAAGCTCTCAAAAGGGAGAGGAAACACAGGAGCCAGGATACTCTGAACAGACAGAGAGACCTGAGCTTCCAGAAGCACATAGTGCTCAAGACCGATATGGCAACTACATCATGTCTCAATTCTCCAGGAAGGACTTCATCAAACTGAGGCAGTGGGCATTCAATTTGAACTTTGCCATACCTTTTGGAGAACGAGCTGATCACCCAACTCTGCCACAGACTGTTGAGGACGTCAACACTTTTGCTATTGCTTTGTTTTCAGAAGTCATTGCCCAAGAACCACATTCAAGTTTTATGATGACTTATCCAGCTATGACTCAAACAAATATCACTCATGATGAGTTTCATGAAATGAAGTTGATTTGCAAAAGAGTCATGGATGAGAACGAAAACATCAAAACCTCCACATTCGAAGCGGAGGACAATCCTAAAGGTCTTGGGACTATTCAGGACAAGAAGGAGACTGAACATATGACACCTGAAAACAAGCATCTTATCCTTGAGATTGACAACAGCCAACTGATTGACTGTACGGTACAATGGTTGAATATGCTCAACAAGGTTTTGCAAAAGAGGATTGTTGAACGAGTTTCTTATTCAGTCAAAGAAGAACAAGAAGAGACAAAAGGTGAACAGTTCAAGGAGGAAGAGATTACCAAGGAGCCCGTGATCAAGCCTACAATGGTCAGCATTGAAACGCAGACTGATCAACCTGAGGAGTCTGAACAACCTGGAAGCTCTCAGAAGGGAGAGGAACCAGAAGAAAAGAAGATTGATGTCAATGCTGATGACACTGCTCCAGAAAGAAACCTGTAACCTTGGAATATTGTGGTGAAGACATTTCTGGAAATGAAACAGGTTCTGTTTTGAGGAAGTTGAAGGACTGTTTCAAGGAAACGTACTATGATGAATGGGCAGGTTTCTACAATCAAGGTTATCCAGCAGCATCTCAACATCGACACATGATGCGGCATTCTCAATTCAGACAAACTGACAAACCACATGCAGAATACTGGTATCAAGAATCAGAGGAGAACTTCATTCAGGAGTACATCAACAGACATCATGATGAATCAGTTCTCAAGGTTCTTGATGAGGATCGAAAAGATACTGTATATGGTTGCTCAGATCCAAGATTGCACATCAAATCACGTGATCAGGTGAACAGATGACTGAAGAAGCCTCAAATCGTCACAAGAATGACTTCGAATCTCTTCATGACATGATTGATGATTACATTCAAGATCATGGAGTCATTCCTTACTGCATTATTCTTCAGTTGTTGGCTATGAGATACCTCGGTGCTGGACTCATTGACCGTGACTTTGTTGACAAGGACTATCCCTACAGAAGTTCAGTTTCTTTCTCATGTATGTTTTGGAATCTGGGAAAATGGCAACGTTCGCTTATGTCAAAGAATCCTCTTCCAGAACATTTGGAGAAGTACAGGAATCACATTGATTTCGAACTTGACTCTGAACATCGAAAGATTGGTGATAGACCAATGTACAACAACTTCTTTGTCAACGTGGTGAAGAATTTGAAGGCACATCTCTTCATGAACTGTGAAGCTGGATCAATTTATGATCACAGAGCTCGATTAGAAGAAGGTGGTTTTTCTGTATGTTTCACTGACTATCAAGATCTGATGGTTGCTGCACGGATTGGCAAAAACAGATCAGTCAACCTCACTAGAGGAAGGATGTCCATGCATAGAGTCTGTGTGTATCATGTACATCAAGACCATGTAAGTCGAGCAGCAGCTCTTTGTGGTGAAATCATTGCAACAATGTGCTATGAGTGCATTCATTTTCAAGTAGACGTACTTGCAGGAGATGGCAACAAGGCAGCCTACTATTGCACTCCAAAGAATCCTGGATGTCCCACGTACGAAGTCAGTTTACTACAGCTCTGGATTGACAGAATGGTCAACACCGCAACTCAGGCAAGATTGAAGAACTATGGTCCTTCACCTCCGGTCAGGGCCAAACACTTCATTACCTGTTCATACAACGACTTGGTACATCTCAATCATCATCTCAGAAACATCAAAGATGAGACGTACACAAATGAACTGGCCAAGAAGACTGAGGGATGCGGTGACTGCTGTATGTTTACACTTCTCGAATGGGGACATGCAAGATGGGAACTCCCTGAAAACGTCAAGGACTTTGAGTCAGAAGATCACATGAACCATGTAGGAGAGTTTCTTTTCAACGTGAATGAAACTTGTTTGAGCTGTGATCATCGATCTTCCATGGTGGCACCTTCAGACAGAGATGCACACAACCCTTTTCTCATACATCTTACTCCATCTGAGATGACCTGGAATGAGAAACGTCAGTATGTTCCAGGTGAACTGAAACAAGCTCGAAAACAGAGGAGAAAAGAGAAGCAGAGAGAGAACAGACGCAAGGCTTATGAAGAAGATGATGAAGAAGATGATGGGCCATGGTTCAACTTTACAGCACAAGAATGGCTTGACTAGCAATCTGAACATCGACGTCGTCAGCGTTCAGAAGGTTATGGTCGATCATCAGCATCCTCATCTTCATGGAGACCTAAGAACAGATGAGTGTATACTTCTATCAGAAGAAGATAACACAAGGCGATTTCTCTGTACAGCTTTTCAATCATTTTCATTTCACACATAATATAGACTCTGTAAGATAGAGATGATATTTCACTGTGTTTTGATCACATATGGTATGGACTCTTATGAGAAAGAGATGATACCATCTTCGTGTACAGAGCCCGTTTTTCTGTGAGTGGTATATACTCTTTAAGGTAGAGAGAATACCACTAGGTCTCAATTTGTCTAAGCCAGCAATCCGAATTTTTTTCCACTCCGATTTCTGTCCATTGATCGCATGAATGTGTGACTTTGGAATCCCGAGCTCGATTTGTTTTGTTGTTGCTTTGGTCTATTGTTTTTCGTCTTGACCTGAAATTCTGAATCTTGCGACCTTCCAGTAGCCGATGTATTTCACCGATTTGGCATTTTGCCAAGACAGACCTTTTGTCCGCACTTTGGTGCAAAGAGAATTCAGAAGCAGCCCGTGTTTTTACTTCGACATGTCTTTAGGACATTTGTCATTTCACATCGACAGCAGCGCACTCCGTAATGCTTTTGTACAGTTACCACTGCGCAACTTCCGCTATTTTGTTAGTTAGCCAACGTGTAAAGATAGTACTTGCTGAGTCTCATACTCACTTACTCTGGGCTACGACAAAGCGTAGTGCTCAACTCATTGCCATTGAACTTGTGCCTGTTTTTGTTTTTGAACTGAGCCTATGGGCAAATAGCATGAGTACTGAGCACCCTTTACATACGCTGTCAAGGCTCAAGAAGAGTAATGCCCTAAGAGGTAGTAGAGACAGAGCTTAGCTCGTACTAGTCCTAGCACTGACTGGCTTCTAGCCGTGTGTGGAAAACAAGTGCTGTGCGACTGGAAGACGCTCTAGCTGATCCTTTTAGGACGCTCTAGCCCCTCTTCACCGCCCCCCCCTTCCCCCCCTCATCTACATTAGATTGGTTGGTGATTCCTTTGTTGATAATAGCAAGCGCTTTTCGGATACGTGCCATTTGTTGGACAGTATGATATTGAATACCATTGGTGTCAATTCATTAATGGGTCGGGGCCATTGACGAAGATGCTGGAAATGGGGACAAACCCAAAAAATATGATCAGTTGTAGGGCAAACCTAATTATGACACAGCGCACAATGGGTAGGTTTTCCAGCAGCATGAGCACCAGCATGAGCGCACAAAAATCATTTCGCCTGTCTGCCATTTGCCGATTTGTAGGCTTGCTGCAGCATGGTTTCAGCGTGCTTGAACTTTGGATGGCTTTCATCTCCTCATAGTAAGGCGTCATCAACATGTAGACCAGATGCTGCGATCACCTCATTGGTCTTGTCATCCTGGAGGACGAACATGCAGCGATCTGCAAGAAGACATCGCCATCCATGGGATGCCATCTTGTTGGACACATCAATGAACAAACATCGTGGAGATTGCACCAGGCGATAGAATGCCTTCCTGATTCGCAAGGGCATCACAGGATGGGTGGGTTCAGTACCGAGCAGCACTGCTAGCTCGGCAGGTACCCGCACCGTCATCTCCGGCGATTCCAAACTTCCATCAGCTTGCAAAAATGCTGCCGTCACATCGCCGGCCTTCAACTTGTAAAATGTCTTGGTGCAAAATGCTAGGACAAAATATCGGCACATGCGCTCCATGGTTGGGCTGCTGTCTCCACTTCTGTGATGTTTCCGATTTGGTAGCCTAACACGACAAAGCCGTGCTTTGGCTGTGTCATCTGACTTGACTGTCAGGACCCTTCTCATAGCAGCTACTGTAGATGGATCAAGGCCTTCCATGTCTTGGCCCGCAAGACTCCTCTTAAGGCCTTTGATTTCCTGCAAATCCATCTGAGTCCATTGCTTCTCCATGCCCTTCTCCAATTTCTCCATCATCTTCTTTGACAGCAATATGCTCCAACCTTGGACGTTCTTGGAGATTTGTTCGAGATCTGTTGGAATGATCTCAATTTCGAAAGCATGGAGACATTCTGTCATGCTTAGCATCAATCTCATTATTGTAGATCTTGCTGGCAGGGGGCTCGATCAAAAGCTCAGGAGAACTATCCGAATCTTCGGATTGGTATGCAGCCTTTTGCCGTCATCGCCAAGGTTTTGTCGACCTTGGTAGGGGTCAGGTGGGTTTTTGACCATCTCCACCTTCAAAGGGGTGCATAGTGTCCACCTGGAAGTCAACAAGCATCAACAGAACACAGAGTTCCAGAGGGAACATTATCTTGTGCAGGAACTCCATCCACTGCGTTCGCTCCTCTGTTTCGTAGGGCTATTGTCAAAGGGCTGATGGCTGGCACATTTAATAGCGCAGCTCCTTGAGGAGGTTTGCCATGTGCTCCACCTGAACCTTCATCTTGATCAGGAATGTCAATATTTTCGCCATCATCCACTTCCAAATCATCTTTCGTAGGCAGCTCATCTTCTGCCTTGCATTTTCGCTCAACCTTCACGCTTCTGGTTTTGGGGGCCTTGCGTGGATCATCAGAAGTCTTGTCGTTGCCCTCAACCACAGCTTCCTTGCGTCTGGATCCATGCCCGCTTTGTCAAAAGTCTGCCATTCAGTTCAGTCTCAGCGATAGGGCATGAGGTCATAGGCAATGGTGAAAACAAAGACAACCTTGGCAAGTGGTGAACACGTACAAGATACCTTCGTCCTCCACCTTGCCAGCACCTTGGACATCATCTTGCACTTGCTCCATGGATGGGACTTCACCTGTCACATCAGCACAATGCCGTCCAGTGAAGTTTCGTAGCAAACTTCCCAAAGTGACTGGCATTCGCAACAAAGAATTCCTTCCAAAGCGGCTTCGAAGCTCTTCTCGGTGGGCGCGCAATTGGACTGCACGAGCTCTGATGAGTGTCGCACCAGTCACATTCCAAATTGTACCACCTTCTTGTAAAAGGAGTCGAATGGGACCAACCCAAGTTCCCCGCAGTCTTTCCCAGGCGTTGCTTTTGTCACCACAGCATAACGGGCATGCCGGGCTTGAACGCTTGGACCTTCTGCGGCACAGTGTTGTTCAGTTTCGCAAGCGTGCTTTTGGCACTTTCGACTTCATAGGTTACCCGGGCTTTCTCCTTGAGCTTCAACATACCATCAAAAGCTCGGCACGGGAATGTTCTCCATAGGCGCTGAAGATTCCCGAATCCATTGGAAGGGCGAAAAGCCTTTTGCATTGATTGAGCTGTTGTGGCCATGAGCTGCAAGTGTGTTTGCTATAGCTCCACATCCATTCATCTTTGATCATCCGTGTGGCTGTGTTCTTGACCAGCTTGATGGTGTTCTCTTCAGATCCAAGCATTTGGTGAGCTCCGGCAGGAGTGGTAAGAAGTCCGATTCCAGTCATCCAGCCCATGTTGCAAGTTCGCCATACTGGGATGGCCAGCTGCCTTATGAACCCTCAACATTTGGGCCTTGATCAGCTCCAACTGCTTATGCTTTGGCATTTCCATTGGAAATCTGTTGCGCGTGAGTGCAAAGACCTCTGGTTGTTCTTGTCTGGCTTGATCTTCAAACTTCATCATATGTTGGCACTCTTGAGCAACACAAAATCCAGACTTGCTGTCACAGTGCTCGATCTCGTTGCCAGCGTCCAAGAGGTAAATGCTAAAGTCACGTGCGGGCCTTCTCCTCAACTCGCTGCCAAGATACAGCAATGGCTTTGGTGACAGCCTTCAGCCTGCAGGGTAATAAGATGAGGCGTCCGGGACAGCGGCGTTGAAGTCCAAAACAAACTTCCCGACACGTTGTGGCAAGTGTGCAGCTCTTCTGCGCCGCAAATCCATTGACTTCCAGACAATGGCACGGGTCGAGATGTCGATGGTGCTTGATGGCTGACTGTTGAAGTTGTTGGATTGCCCTTGATTTCCAGCCCTTTGTGGCAGATGTCGGACACTCCCAAATGATGTCGCTGCCATCCATCAAAGCTGGCTCCAAAGCTTGAACAACTCCGTCAGCACGCTTGAAATCTCGTGCTTTACGCTTCTGAAAGGCAGCTTCTTCATACTCATCACGTTGGGTCAGGTTGTTGAAGCTGGAAAGTCGGGTATGTGCTTGGGCTTCTTCTCCTGGATGTAGGAATTCAGCTTTTGGGCGCCGGCTTTGAAGTCAAAACCTTCTCGGTAGTTCACCCGCTGGATGCTGAAGCCCATGTCTTGCATCTTGGACGGCAAAGAAAAAGTTGGTGCGCGGGTAGCCTCGACAAAGCCCACCGAGGTTGGGATCATGACACTGAGGATCGCCATGCTTGAAGTCAATTTGCGGGGACATCCGCCCAGGCTTGGGCAATCGTTGTTCCACACGTTGGCATTGTGATCAGACAGGCCGCACGCAAACCCTGTGGCTGCCACTGCGCCCAACAGGGACCCATTTTGATCCACAATGCAAGGCTCGGTGTGCATTGCCATCTCGTTGTGCTTCATGGCTGGAACACTGACGGCTGATCGTTCCAACCAACTTGCTCATCTTTCCCTGGAAGCTTTTCAGTGTGTTCCAGAGCCCTTCGGTTGGCTGCCCGGCTGATCCTTCTCCATGTTGGGTTGAGCCCACTCGTCGTCGAAGATCACATGAACTTCCATTGGTATCTTGGGCCTTGTTCCATCGGGCGCAGAACCTTCATTCACAAACCGCATACCTCGATCTGCTGTTTCCATCAAATCTATTGAAACATGATGGAAGCATGTGGACGCATCTTCACCGCAAACCAGTGAAGCTGGGGTCCTGTCGGCAGTAGAGCAGGAGGTTGTTCTGGTGCGCCAAGACTGCTCCCAATTGCCGCAAAGTCTTGCCTCCCATCAACGGCGGTGTCATGCATGCATCATCACCCAGAACATAGAAAGAAACAGAATCCCAAGGAATCGTTGTGAATGTCCACACCGCTGGATGCTTGTAAGATGCCGACCATGTTCAAAAAAAAACACTGGGTCAATCCCTAAGCTGCATTGGTCCCGTCCCGGCGCTGCAACGATTCCACGCCGACTGCATGTGTCCAGAATCACTCGGCTACCTTGCGCAGCTTCAGCAAGGAAAGCACCAGGGAAGGCCAGGCAACTCAAGGCGTGAAACTGAACTGACTTGGAAAAACCCTTGCCTTTTTCATACGCCCCCTTTGAAACATAACCCTTGCTCTTGGATTGACCCTTTGCTTTGGAGAACCGGTCTGGACATTGTGCATAGCTATGACCCTTGAGTCCACCACTGGGACCATTGGCCACCACTGGTGAAGACCTTGAAGAACCAGAGATCCCTCTGCCAGATGCAGATCCGGGAGCAAAATAGCCACGGGCAGCTCGAACTTTGCACCTGTTCACGTGCCTCATTCAGTCTCCGAGTTGCTGTGCTCGCCAGTGCGACTGCTTCCTTGTACTGCATCTCAGTCAGATCTGATGTTGCTCATCCGCTGGCAGGTCTTCAGACTCTTCCCATTGCCAACCCTCAGTCGTCATCATCATCGTCATCATCATCACCATCATCATCATCATCACCATCATCTGTTTCATCTGTTTCATCTGTTTCATCTGTTTCATCACCATGCCACCAAGCATAATGCCCTGGATCCAATGCTTCACCAGGCCATGGTTCATCATTTTCCCAACCATCCATAGATTCTTCATTCCAGACCTGTGCCCGGCGCCATCCATCATCCTTGTCGGAAAACAGAGTTCGCAAAGCTTGACGAACAGGAAAAAAGGCAGTCGAATGTCGTGTTTGCACTAAAATGCTCTGTCATTTAACTGTTGTCAAGGCGTTCCCTTGATCAAACGATACCCACGCAACCCATCTGAGAAAAAATCGTTACGTTATCACCATCTGCTGCACGTTTCCAGCTGACGTCGCGTGTCCGGCTGGCGGATCTTCGGTCGCAGCTGCTGGTCTTGGCGCGGCGTGTCCAACTGGACTTTGTGAAGGCGTCGATGGGGGCCTAGGCTGAGTGTCAGGGCGTGTTGGAACCTGAGAAGCAGTCAGCACAGCAGCACGGCCATCACTTCGCCCCTCTTGAGGGCATCTTGTAACTGAACAAACATGTCCTTTTCTCGCACCAGAAATTGAGGAATGCCATGCCATTGATGCCATTGGTCCAATCGCTTGAAAAGATCCGGTACAGGTAGAGGAAACTAGCAAAGAACATCAACAAGTCGTGCCAAACCATCTGGCCCTTCATACTGATTAGGACCCAAATGCCTCACAACAGACAGCGGATTTGTAAAAACTCCTGCAGTAAAACCATGTATAATATATGTCATCGATCTACTCTGAAGCGTTGGTTCAAAAGAGCTGAGTGCTGAACGGTTTTAGCCCCATTGTTATTAACATTGTTGGCTGACCTTGTAAAATACAGGTTATCAGCCGTAGTCTCACTACTTTGCTATGGGGACCCCAACCGACCTTCCTCTCGCCGTTCCAGGGTCAGGTCCATCGGCCGTCGCCGTGCCCAATGTGGCCGGGGGCAACCCCGAGCCGATGGATGACGAAACAATGTTCCAACCCGTTGTAGCGTACTTCACCTTCATACAAAACAACCTTTCCCAAATCACCAGTGGGAACACCCTGCAAGTTATGAGGGAAGCTGAACAGAGGCACCTTCAGATAATGCATGGAGTAGTTGACTCAATTCGAAACGAATGGTCAAGTAGGCTCGTAATGCAGGAGCAGGAGTATGAGCAAAGGTTGCAGGAGGTTGAAGGTAAGGCCATCAGTGCCGTCAACGAGGAAAGGAAACGAGGCGACGAGTTAGAGGTCAGGTTAAATCAGGCTCAGGCATCGCATGACAAAAGAGTAGAGGATTTCAAGGTAGAGGCAAACACAAAGCATGATCAGAAAATTGCAGAGGAAAGGCAACGTATCACTAGTGAATTCGAAGCTTCCTATGCACAGACTGTTGAACATGCTAAGAATGCCATAGCTGCCACAAAGAAGCAATATGAAGATCAGGCTGCAATTGATCAGGCCAGGTTCATCAGTTTGAGGACCGAGTTCGAGAACTACAAGAAGGAGATGGCCGACAAGATCAACGAGGCAGCGGCTCAGAACCTTAGCCTTCAGGACCAAATCGATGACCTTCAGGAGCAGTTAAAGCATGTTGCCAAAGCGCAGCATGCCTCCGTTCCGAAAGCATCCGTCCAGAACGCCGAGCCGGCCGCTACCACTAGCGTGCCCCACTTCAATATTGCCACTCCCAAAGCATCCGATGCACAGGCTGCCAAAGGCAGTGATGAGCCGATTCTGAAAACGCCTGCAGTGTTGGCACAAGAAGCAAAGGCCAAGTTGGATGAGCTGCTCAAAGGTGGCAGTCCCAAGCAAAAGCCGGCTGTCGGCAACGACCAGCCCCAATTGCCAACGCAGTCAGGGTTTTTCACTCCCACTGAAGCTATCAAAACTCCCCCAAATGACTCCCCTAAGAGCGCAACCAAGCAACAGCAAGTGATGGGTCCCTCAGATCTTATTGAATTGGTAAAAGCCTTAACCCAAAGGGAAGAAAAGGATAAGCCAAAAACTAAGGAGGCCGAAATCATCAAGCTGAACAACATGCCCGCTCCGGAGTCGTATAGGACTTGGAAAAATCATGTCAGGGATGAAGTGAAAAGCTGTTCAGATCGCCCGGATGAGGCGTGGCTCTGGCTCAACGAGGTGTACGATCAAGAGTGCACCAGAGAGCAGTTGGAGAAGAAACTCCAAGATCCTGGAAAGTTCCTCACGCTGGATACAAAGTTATCAGCAGCGCTCACGCGCTCAGCCGGAGGGGACCTCGCAACTAGGATCCTGAATTTCAAAGAGCAGCAATCCCGAAAAGGCATCCAGGTCAGGGGAAGGTATGTTCTGCTCATGTTTGAGGACTACTTCAAAACATCAGAAGAAGCAGGTAGCCTTTACAGAGTAGAAGATCTTTTGGGTGTTGTCAAAGTAGGCGATACTGTCCAGGATCTCAGAAGATTCATCAACAAATGGGATGCTACCCTAGCTGGCATGGCTGTCACCCCCGATGATGCTGTGTTAAGGGACATCTTGTTGAGGCAGATCCGACCAAGTCAGTTGCTGAAATATGACATCGAGATGTTTGATCGTGCACATGAGAAATCCCATGAAAAGTCTTACAGTTTTCTTCACCAATCCATGAAGAACTTGATCGATCGTGAACGATTAAGGGAGAACAGGAACCGCATCGCGGAGAAGAACAAGGCTGGGATCAAGGACACGAAGGCCGCACCCGCCAAAGGCGATGGTCGCGGTGGCCGAAAGGGCTCTCCAAGTCGTGGTAGATCGCAGGAACGAGGTGGCAAAGGTGACAAGATTTGCTATAAGTTCCAAAAGGGTACCTGTGATAAGGGGAAGAAGTGTCCATTTAAGCATGTCAAGGATGATAAATCTCGAACTCAATCACCCAGAAGAACCAAGACACGTTCACCATCAAGGGGCAACAAAGATGATAAGGGGAAGAAGATGTCCAAGGAAGAAATGGCCAAAACCCCATGTATCTATCATGCAAAGGGAAAGTGCAGACGTGGTGACAAATGTTTTTATAAGCATGATGACAAAGCTGCCGCCGCCACCAAAGACACCAAAAGGGCCAATTCACCCGCTCCCAAGAAGAAGAGCAAGGATTCCACAGCCGCTCCATGCCTGATCCAGAAGTTTGCATGCATCGTCCGAAAACAGCCGAAGGCAACTTCGTGCTCTGATGAGTCAAGTGTCAGCATGAAGCGTCTTAGATTCCGAAAGGCCCCACATGTGATCGAGGTGAAAGCAGTTGGTCGTCAAGTCCCAGTCAAGCACCGTCCAAGAGAGTTCACTAAGGTGTACAAGACAGCTGAAGATGTTCCAGTTTCATCCAAGGTTGAACAACATGAGGCTCAGGTTCGTGCAAGACAGCTTCAGGAAACTGTGAAACTTCATGATTCAGATGTTGCACCTAGTTGTGGGTTTTGTTGTTGGAATGAGGACACACGTGACATCACATGCAAAGAGTGCAGGTTCATCAGCGGTCCCAAAGCTCTTAGAGACATTGGTCGTTTCCCGTCAATTGCCACAGCCGCGCCAAAGGCCGGCGTTAGTTGGCTTGTCGACTCAGGTAGTGAATCCGATCTTGTGTCCAAGGGTATGTTGAGGGATGTTAGCGCCAAGAACTGCCGTGCAGCCGAGCATCCGATTTCCTTAGTCACAGCCAACGGTTCGACTGAGGCCAATGAGGTTGCTGACGTCAAGTTGTCCGCATTGCCAGATCCTGTGCATCCGTATGTACTTGATCATACCCCAGCTGTGCTCTCCGTAGGAACAAGATGTGTAGATCAGGGTTACAGTTTCGTATGGCCTGCCAATGGCAAACCAATCCTAGTCCGTCCAGATGACAAGGTTGTCCAGCTCAAGATCGAAGGTCATGTCCCAATCTTGGATGATAGTTGCAAGGTTTATCCCAAAGATCAATTTCAAAAGGATAAGCACCTCAAAAAGCTGTTCGCAATGCCGACCTCACGGTCGAGCTCGAAAGCCAAGCGGGACGAAGCCCAAGATGAAGAGCAATTGGACGAGCTGGTGGAGGATGACGCTCAGCAGGAGTACATCCGAAGCCGCAAGACTGAGGATTTGCTGGCTGAAGCTGCAAGTACCCAACATCAGTACACGCATTTCCCCAAGAACCCCTTTTGCAGAACCTGCCAACGAGCAAGGATGATGGCACCTCAGGCACGAAAGAAAGGTGGTCAGAAGAGAATCGAAACTGAAGTGTTTGGTGACCACATCATTGGGGATCATGTCATCATCAAGAAAAATGTAGAAGAGGGTTTCAGGGGGGAGCAAGTTGCATTGGTGTTGAAAGATCTGCACACTCAATATCGGTATGTCTACCCTAGCCAATCCAAGGACTCACAAAGCTGTGTTGATGGTTTGAATCACTTCATTGGATCAAAGGATGATGTTCAAGTTGTGTACACTGACAATTCCCCAGAATTGATCAGGGCCATCAAGGATTTGGGTTACAGACACCAAACTTCCATTGAATATGTAGATTCATCAAAGTCTTTTGCTGAGCGTGAAGTTCGTCAGATGTTGGAAGGTGCCCGGAGCAACTTGTTGCAATCAGGACTTCCTTTAAAAATGTGGCCCTTGGCCATGCAGCATCACGCGACCGCGATCAATGCAAGCCCCCAGCTTGACGGCAGTGAATCCCCATGGCAACTCAGGTTTGGTGAAGAGTTCCCTGCAATGCACATTCCATTTGGTGCCAAAGTGTTGTTCTGGAATAACCCCAAGAGGTTGGATAACACATCAGGTAAGCTCTCCCCAACAGCAAATGAAGGAATTTTCCTTGGGTATTACATCCAACCAGGCCATGATTGGAAGGGTGAATAACTGGGGTGCACTGACAATCCAAAGAACAAAGAGGTTGGAATTGCCATCCGAGGGTTTCATCTTTCCTTTGAAAGCTCTGATTGACTCGAAAGCACCCAAAGCCGATCGCCTCGAGGACCAGGTCATTCCGCAGACACCCAAAGCTGTGCCTCTTGAGTCCAGTTTGCATCCGCCACAAGATGAGTACGAATACGAGCCAGGAACGCCTCTACCAGCCGACAGCGATGTCGAGCCTGATGCACCCGAAGCGCCCGTATTTCCAGATCTCAAATTGACCCCCAAAAGTGAAATTATTCCAGATGGACATCATTGGGATGGTCACCGGATTGTACGTAACTACAAAGGTTCAAAGCGTCCGGAGGGGATCGACTCAGAACTGTGGAAGATGTTAGGACCCCAAGATAGGAAGTTGATTATCGAGGAAGAAGCAAAGAAAGCAGCCAAAGAGCAGGAGGAAAAGCCAGCATCGTCATCTGGCAGCAAGGGCAAAAAGAAGAAATCTTCACCGGCCCGGCTTGAGGCAACTCAATGCCCTCCTGCAACTGCAAAGCTCGTAGGCAATGTTTGGGAAATTATTCCAGCCACTTCCCAAAAGTTTTCCGTGCCGGCAATGCCAAAAGCTGCCGCGCCTGCCACAATTGAGCACCGGCCTCGAATTAGAGAGCTCGTCAGAGAGAAGATCAAGGAACGTGAGTTCAAGGTCGCACTCGAGCTTTTCGCTTCAGTTGCTAGGCTTGTATCAAAAGATGAGATTGCCAGCAACCCCAAGGCCAAGGCCGCCCTTGATAAGGAGTGGGATAATCTCCGTAATAAGGGTGTTTGGGATGAGAAGCGTGTTC